ACCTTTTTGTATACCTGTATCTTACTATTATGTTACTAACATGTAAGATGAATATCAGGATAGTATTAGGAAACAAAAGGTATACCATTATGTATCCAAAATCTATTTTTTATCTTACCCTAATATTGATATCCGTTAGTTTACCATTATTCTTTTCCGATATGCATATCGGGTAAATAATGGGTCAATAAAGATATATTCCGTTATTTAACCTTTATTCATATATTCGACCTGTGTGAGTAATTGAAACCCGAGCATATTGTTATGTAAAATTATATTGTTCGAACACATTTAAGCTATATCCAACTTTCTTTTAAACAAACATAGCATTGGTTGATGGATCACTACTACTTCTTTTTTTGCAAGTGGAACGACCTGCAAGATATATTCTAATTTGAATATCAATACTTGATTATTTATATAGACTAGCTAGCTTGCTATAACCTTTTTTTCTCTATTAGGTGTGAGAAAAGGCCCACTATTTTTTTGGCTCTATTTTTAATATTAGCTACTTTTGTTAAGGTGTGGAGTATAATATCTAAATACTTCACATTGCATAGTTTTCTTTCTGCTATAATTTTGGTACTACAAAACTCTATAATCTTTTTTGTCTAACCAACACTGAGTTAACTCTACTAGCTTGGATTTGCTTCCATTTATCTTAATATCGTTTAAACTAAAAAAATTGTTCAGTCAAAGCTACTATATATTCCAGTTGTTGCTTCAAATTTGCTATCCAGGCTGTGTTATTGACATAGGCTAGTGCCGCTTGTCTAATTTCTTCTGTATGATTCAACTCCATTAATGATTTAATTTTATTATATGGTTTAAGAGTATATTCTAGATCTTTGTCTTTCTGTATCTTGTTAAGCAAAGAATCGTAAAAAATTCTCCAAACCAAAAGAAAAATAATCTCCCATTGGTCTATACTATTTTCAGCAGTAATCTCTTCAGTGAGGCCATAGTTTGTGATTATTCTAAGCCTTTTGTCTCTAAAAAGATTTAGAATAAAACTATATATAATCTGTGAACTTTAATTCTCTCAAGAGCTTTTTGCAACATTTTAAGATTTACTAAGTCATATGCCTTCTTCATGTTCTGAAAAAGAACCCATAACTTCTTATCCCACTTTTTAGCTTCTTCAATAACTGCATTTAGGATTTGGATCAGTTCTTCAGTTAAGTTGTCAAATAAACCTTCAAAGTTTGGACTTTGTAATATTACCTTTTTAATTATGATCCTGCTAAGGTGTCTTGTTAACATCTTGGTTGTGCATTTGTGAAAGGTTTCTAGCAGAGCTATTGGGCGTATCTTGCTTAGATTATACTCCCAGTCCATTCCCTTTGGTATCGATTACATCTGTGCTACCTTTCACTTATCTGGTACTGCTCCACTACATATATACAGATTTGCGAAGTTCTTAAAAATAACTTGTATTTTGTTGTTTGCTTGCTTAATAAATGAGTATATTGTTACAAAGCAAATTGTAACACAACGTAACATTGTATAGATTATAGTTTATTATTGGTATATACAGTATTAGTTATATTTATTTAGTATTAGTTATTATTATAGTTATATTTATTAGTATAGTATTAGTTATTATCTTTATTATTGTATTAGTTATAGAAATATTATTGGCTAGTTATATATGGCACAGTAATGCTGCACGAGTGCCTCCAAGTGCCTCTGCATAAGTGCCTCTAAGTGCCTCTGCATGAGTGTCTCCAAGTGCCTCTGCATGAGTGCCTCCAAGTGCCTTTGCACGAGTGCCTCTAAGTGCCTCTGTACGAGTGCCTCTGAGTGCCTCTATACAAGTGCCTCTGAGTGCCTCTTACACGGTTTAGCCGTTACACCTCTTATGTATAGAAAAGTTATAAAAAGGGAGCCTTTGCCCCTTCTACTCAAGTTAGAGTTAGATAGAGTTAGTTAGAGAATTCCCTACCCTTTCATAGTATCTAGCCTTACCTTCTTACTATTCTTGTTCTCGTATAAAGTGATATACTTCCTCTAGAGTAATCCTAGTAGATAAGATTATCCTCCTTGACCTATAATAAATAAAGTATTCACTCATATACTGTCCCTATGTCAAACCGTTTGCCTTCTGCTAGTGGAAGTAGTGTATATTCCACTTCCACCCTGTGTACACCCCAATAGCAGGGTCCCTGTACCAGGTGACTTTGTTACCTTGCTATGTGGTGATCAAGAAGGCCGTAGCATTGTAACATTTTGATGCCTCCTGGCAGAAAGCCAAAACATTATCTCGGAAAGCTTAACATTATCGGGAAATGCCAAAAACCACCTGGAAATTAAAGTTCATATCATTATGCTAAAACATCTGACTGGGAATCCTAAACCTATACCAGGAACGTCCAAAAGTATCCCAAAGTCTAAACTATCCAGAAAAGTCAATTTACTAGTAAAAGTATATTGGAGCCGAATGCAAGGAAATAAACTTTTGGGCCAGATACAATATCATCTGAACATACAATCGTCTACATAGACCTACCATATATTAATGGTTACCTTAATTGATAAACCATTATTATTCATTGTGGCACTAACACTAGCAATATGTATTACCTAACATGTGACCCTGACTAGCCAAGCAAAGACGAAATTTATTATATCAGCGAACTATGCCTTAAGTAGAAATACCGAGCACCCAATGCACATACATTAATAGTTACCTTAATTGAAAAACTATTATACCCGGCTATCTAATCTAACAAGATCAAATATCAAACCATAATGCCTAACATATAACCTGACCAGCAAAATGGAAATAAAATTATGTACCAACAGATATTAGGTCCAAACTACAGAAATACAGTCAATCGGATCTTTACTTAATTATTAAAAAGAAACTAAACCCGGTTATATGTATAAAAATATATGTGACACGTGACCTTACTGGCAAAATGAGACTTTAGTTCAGAATTATAAAAGTATAATCGACCGGATTTTACTTAGAACTATGTTATCATAGTACTGGACTTTATATAGTAGATCAAGTTGCATCGAGACCCGATCAGTAAAGCATGGCCCAAACAACTCGCATATTGAAACACACATTGATCGCTAAAATAAAATCAGCCATGATACTGGACTTATTTAAATCACTGATTAGATCAGAATCAGGATCGAACAAAATTGTAGAATTTATTATAGCCTTAAATATTTATTATTTATTTAACTTAAGGCTCTGAATTAACAAAACACAACATATTGAAAATTGAAGCACTCAAAGAAGCAATCATAAAGAAGTAATAATAGGATCAACTCTAAAAATAGCAAATCGAATTTAAAACTTGAATATAAATTGGAATTGGAATAGAAAACTGAAATTAAAAGAAAACTTGAGCACAATTAATAAAATCAAAGAAGTTACTTATCTGAAAGGAAACTCTGTTATACACCGAAGTCTTGAAAGTATCTGTCCAATACCCAAGGTATGGAGGAATACAAGCTGATACGAAAGTGGTGCAAACCCACAATAAGACTTTTAAAGAACTTCAATTATCCAAGAGACCTGAAATGAAAAACCGAATTCAACAAAACTCGAGCACAAACAATGGAATTGATTAAATCGAAGAAAGTTTTACTTATCTAAAATTAATTGAACATTTATAAGCCTTGCCAAGTACAATCGGGAAATCACCTTGATGTTAAATAGATATTATTATTTTTTGAAATTAGTATTATTATTTATTTATTTATGTTTGTCAAAAATAATTATTGGTACCAGATAGGTTCCGGATTACATATCTGAGAAATTATTTTAGACATTATTATTACTTGGTAAACCCACCAGTTAGTCATATACCAAAATGAGCATTAAAATGGAACTGCCTAAGACATCATGCAAAAAGGCAATAAGTGGTGAACCTGCCGATCAGCCGTACGCAAAAGAGGACTTAATATTGGAGGGAGCGAGCCTGCTCGTAAGATGTGATGCGTAAATTATCCTAGGAATTTATTTAAATTTTTAATTATTATTGGTATTATGGCTACCAAATACCGAATTCGAATTATATTTTATATTTTACCTTCATATATCAAGGTTGGGTATAGTAAAGACCCAAAACAATGATTTCTGATTAAAGGTTCTTCAGTGACTAAAAATCGAAAACTCAAGAACCACATTAGCACAGTTTCAACGAATTCAACCAAAGACGATGACGATTGCTAAAAGAAAACCCTATATTCTTGATCCATAATGAATTAACCGAATTGCTGAAATAGTACTTGAATGCTGCTTGGAAGTTCTAAAGACCACAATGTAATTGCCAAAAGAAAGTCTCTAATATTCCGATAATTAAACCCACCTGAAACCTGGACCTACAGAAGAGACACTAACAATTGAAATAAGAGAGGCAAAGAATATACAAGACAAGAATAAAAGAATACACCTATTGTTGATACTACCTTATTGAGTATCGAAGGATTTAATGAATAGACTTCAGGACATGTGAAGTCTCTACTAAGAACCCAGTAATAATAAAAGATCTGAGATGTTGTCAACAGCCCACTGAAATAAAAAGAACTGGGTTAATAAAGAAAAACAAAGTTCTATTGTTCGAGAATAGCTCCAACTAAAGTCAAGATTGATCTAAACTCTATGTTAGGATCATAGAACTAATTCCTTACTAGCTTGAAGAAAAGCTAACACACCGACGCGACGAAGAACGGCGAAGCGATCGATGATTAGAACATTGATCTTGACTGTGGAATGAAAGAGTAACCGAACTGGAGAGTTACTTTAATAATTACTTTAAAATATAGGTTGAAGGAACCCAAGATCAACCTAATAACCAACTAGAAAGAAAAGAAGAATATTAGAAAGATCAAAGCTCCATATTAGATATTGGAACTAGCCAAAAGAAAGTAACTTGAGATCCACAAGCTACTACTGAAAGTTACCATATGATCAACATATAAAGACACCAAGAAGTGACTGACGATCAAGAAAGGAAAGCTTAAGATCTACATGCCAAGCCGGAAGATGCCGATGCGACGAGAAGCAACGAAGTAATCAACGAACGGAACTTGATCATGGAAAGGAAGAGTAACTTAAGAAATAGAATTGCTAAAAGTAATGGGTGGAAGGAATAAATAAAAAGAAAAAGAGACTTAGGGTTAAAAGCAGAAGTTGGATCAATAAGTAAAGTAGCAGAGAAGTGTAAAACCGGTGATCTTGAAATAAATACCATAAATCCTGAAATCACATGAATTAGATCACGAGACTTACAAATGAATGAAGAATGTCGAATCTACCCAATGGCCCTAATAAAAGAAAAGACATTACTTAAGTCATAACCGGATAATGACTGAAAGCCCTTAAAAGAAAGAAAGAAGTGTTAATATCGACCGGGAGATATAACTTAACACTTGCGAATTAGGATTAGGACCTGTACTCGGAAACTAAAATCTACTAATATTATTAACATTACTTTATATTTTATTGTTTTATTCTAATTATTTATTTTATATTATTGCATATTTTATTTATTTATTTTTATTTATTACTATAACTTATTCTTATTATATATTTATTTTATTACTTTGGCTTCTTAGTTTCTTCTTATAACTATATTATTATTATTATAAAATAGAATTGCAAGTTATAATTAAAGTAGCAATAGATTATAACTTAGAGACTTAGACATTTAAAAATTTTTAAACTTAAACACTTAGAAAACTTTCGAACTATTTAATACTTTTGAAACTCAATATTCGATAATTTCGAACTTAGAAGTTATTAACAAAATTTGAAGTTTTAGATTTGGAATTATTATCTAAACTCCAAAATCAATGAAACTAACAAACTGCAATACTCAGCCCAATACTTACATAAACATTCATAATTTTTCTAAAGAAAATTCGAAAAGAAAATTTACATGTGATTGTACTTCTATTAATATTCATAAGGAGTGATATTGAAATTTTTAGTATCATTTGGATTATGAATTAACAGTCATGGCGGAGAGCTACTATTTGCAGACCCAGGTTCAAGACTGGCTAAGGGAGCTACCTGATAGGTACCAAGTTCAGTGTGGCCCTTAGTTGAAGTATTCAAATGATTAATTTTTTTTTTTTATTATTATTGTTATTATTATCAAAATTTTTTTTATTTAACGAAAAAGAAAAAAAAATAACATAAAATATACGTATAAAAGAGAAAAATAGAAGAAAGAAAAATATAAAAACAAATATATTTTAAATATCAAATTCTGCATCTAAATCTATTGTAATACTATCTATACGCCTCTCCAACTTAGCAACCTGAACTCGCAACTGATTCCTCTCTTGAACAACTCGCCAATGCTCCTCATCTCTCCTCTAATTTTCCTCTACTGACTCCGCCTCCCAAAATCGAATTTCTTCCAACTCCGCTTCTAACACAACGATTCGTCTTTTCAAGGATCTCACCTTATGCAACAACCTAAAAATGAATTAACAACATTAATATTTCATCTAAAACAATTATAAAAATTTATGAATATTTACCTCCTGTTTTGATCTTGAACTTCGATGAGAGCCTCATAGAGAGCCTCATTGCCACTGCGTCTGGCACGTTGAACAGCACGAGAAATACAAACTCGAGGCATTTTTATATTTTTATTTTATTATTATTATTATATTACTATTATTATTATTATTATTATTATTATTATTATTATTGTTATTGTTATTGTTGTTGTTGTTAACGAAGGAGGGAAAAAAAAAGAAAATTTTTTAAAATTAGAAAAATTATATCATGTATGCCTTATTAACTACAATAGACAAATATGTTTAAAACCTGATGATCTTATTGGTTAGGAATGACAAAACAATTAATTATTAGTTTTTATTATTTTATTAGTATTGTAATTTAAAGCAAAATGAAAAAGACAAAATTTTAAAAACAATATTACAATAGTGATAGACTTGAAAGAATATTACAAACAGCAAGAATAGGAACTACAAATTATTATTGAAATTTAATAGACAAAAGACTTAGAATTTTATTAGCTTAGAATATTTTTATTAAACTTTTTATTTTATTAAGTTTTATTAGAATAGTTACATTAAATAATTTTATTAGATTTAGAGATTAAAAACCAAAAATTTTATTAAGGAAAAAGAAAGAAAAATAAAACAAAGAACAAAGAAGAACTAGAATGATCACCAACTCCACCAAACTAAAACTCGGACTACCCTCTACTATAAACCACAATGCCTCAACCTCCGACTCTAAATCTCCTATCTCTGTCTCCAAGTCCATCACCCGTACCCTCAATCTATTTCTCTCCTCTTGCAACCTTGCTATCTGCATTTCATACTAGTAATTTAGCCATACCAGCTCTGTCGGGTTGTGCTCTTGGACCCGAGCCTGTAGGTTTGCAACCTGGTTTTGCAAGCCCCGGACAATGGACGAAATAGATTGGCTATGAGCGATACGTGGCATCTAAATTTAATAAAAAAAAAGTTAGAAAAAGAACACTTTTTCCAAGATAGATACACTTAAAAAACAGAAGTATAGAAAAAGAAAAAGAAAGAGGAAAAGACAAAGAGAAAAGTATCCACCAAGGCCATACAATCAATCATGCAAGTTATAAAGAAAATCAATCATCCAAGCACAAAGGAAAGTTAGCTCACTTAGATATGGAAGGCCAGTGATTGCCCTGAAGGAGTAAAGCCAACGAGGTTTAGCACATAGCCCAAAAAGTATACCTACTTTTTGGTGGAAGAGCAAAAAGCAAAGACCAGGAAGACAAGAAAATTTAACAAGAAAATTACTACTAAAAGAAGAACAGAGTATTAGATAAGAAAGTTTTTAATGTAGAGAAATATGAAAAGGAAAATAGAAAGAACTATACAAGGAAAAAGAAGATTTGTGTAGAATTTTTGAGAAACAACATACAGAAAAACAAGAATATAAATAGAATTGAAAACAATAAAAATAATTTTTCCAAGACAAAGAAAATTATTACATGGCAAAAACAAAGAAAATCACAAACAATAATAATATGATTTACAAATTTAGACAAAGATGAACAAATTAGAAATGGAAGCTAATTTTAGACATACAAAAATGGAAGTTTGGTGGATCTCACAGAATTTAAAGGAGAAAATAGACAAAGAAAAATGCTTAAATACATACTAGGCCAACAATTTTTTGCCAAGTATACCAAGTATTGCCCAATAATACTGAATTAAAATTTTTGCACATGGTTGTTCTAAAAAGTAAAACCATATAGTAGATAAAGAAAAGTACAAAGCAAAATAGAATTTTTGCATGTTGCGATAACAAAGAAAATTATTATAAACTCATAACTTTTTGTAAACAAATATAGTAGTTAAAGTATAAGTTTAGATTT